AATAAACTATTTATGTGAAAAATAACTTGGGAATTTTGTGAGAGTACTTACCCATTATGGTAAGGATTGACAGGTGTTTGAGTATGAGTTCTGCTTATTCTGAGTCTTAGTTTTAATATAAGTAGTTGCTTTAGTTTTCACCACGTGCTGGAGTGATAGGAGTTAGTTTGATTTATGTATATTTTTTTGTTTTATGACTGAGACTTGTACGGATCGGGATATCATTTCTCCTAAGGGATGTGCTTCTCGAATTTCTACAAGATTTAAGAATAGATGATTTTTCAGACTTTACATAGTTAAATAGTTTAAGCTCATTTTTATATTCGTATAAATTTAACAATTTGTTTTCTCTGAAGGAAATATTGCTCATATTTTTACTGATTAAAAGAGTTAGACATCTTTTATGTGAAGTTATAGGTGTTGACTACCTCGTAATCTTTGAGTCGGTTTAAATATGCGAAGCTACCTTCTCGAAATGATGCGCTACCCAAATTCTTAATAATTTGGAGAGTTCGACAAAATTATTTTCGAAAAAACTAGGAATGTTAACTAACTTCAAATTTGGATTGGTATAAATTTTTTGATAGTACTTTTCTAGGGAAAGTACTGCCCAAATTTTTCTTAATCAAAGGAGTTAGATAAAATTTTATTTTATTTTCATTTAGAAATTTGATAGGTTTTTAATATTTAGTTCTATATAAATTTTGCAAAGACCCTTTCCTATGGGAAGCATTAACGAAATTTTCTAAAATATAGAGAAATTAAAATACTTTATGACCTTAAAAAATATAGGCAATCTACCCCTCCCTATGAGAAATGTTATCGAAATTGTTGGTATTTTTATATAAGTGTCAAGGATAAGGTAGGATTATGTCCCACGAACTTAAGTTTAGCTTGGGTATTGGCCTATGTTGTGTTGCATTTAATTCAGATTGATATAAGGTTTGACCAACTCTCAAGCTAGACTGTTGTGTTTCTTGGGATTTTCAACCATATTTGTTTTAATGACAATGATAAAGGACTGAATATGTTTTATGATAACATTGATGATAATTGAAGTTGTGTGTGTAAAGCGGGATGTGAGTTTCTGGGAATGGTAGAGTTGACCATATTAGTATCTGCCAACGTGACTTTTGTGTGTGCGTAGCATGCGGCTTAGTGTTTGACGCTTGATAGACAAATAACGCCTTGAAGGTAGTGATAATGATAATGATATGTCATACGATCTGCATCTCTGATGGGTTATCCTTTACCCTTTCTATTTTATATAGAGTTGTGATGGATATGTGGGTGTTGTGATGTTTGCTTGTTTATTTACTGACCGATATTTGTGACTTTGTTTATTAAGTTTTATAGTTTTATGTTAAGGTCTATGTTGAGATAAGAAGATGTACTCATCATTACACAGTGTGCAAAGATAGAACACACATGTACTCTTTATTACACAGGGTGCGACAATAGAACATACCACACACGTAAGTAGGACACATCACACGTAGCTCACAATGCAAAGAAACTGCAGTAATCATCAATCAATTCCGAACCGCAATCCCAATGGTCCGCCACTCATACCACAAACCTATGGTCAATCGGGGCCAAAGCCGTGATGGACCGTCCACCGCAAGAGAGAGGATTACTACTGAACCAAACACTACTTAAGTACCCGTGATGCTAACAGCTCGTCCAGGTGCCGGTACTTACGGTATCAATACTACCCATGCTTATTACCCTAGATAGGGGGTACTTCATTGGGTAGGTCAACTCAAGCCAAAATAAACCCCAAACAACACGTAGACCCGGGCTCAAGGGGCCTAAAAAAGTACTACATGATGCATAACAAAAAATTGAAGCAAAGACAGAAGGGGCCCGTACCATGACCCTCTACAAAACCTACAGTGAAAGCGAAGTCCAAACTGAAATCCTACAGTGGACCCAAAGTCCAAACAAAAACCAGACAAGCCTCAGCTCCAAGAGGCCTAACTAAAAATACACTCTTGGTCACAACCGGGAAAGGACCAGCCACTAAACAAACTTCAACTCCGTCACAAGCCCTGTCACTACAGAGCGCTGCAGGGACCAGAAAGATAGAGTTTCAACTTACCATATCAACTGCCAACTTCCAGTGGGCATCCCGCTCGAAAGCAAATCGCTTAAGTACCCTCAGAAAGAAATTAGAGCGTACGTCTTTCAACCTGGATTCCCTCTTCAATGACACAACTCGTCTCGGGATTTCATGTCGAGCAGATGTATTACGATCAATACGATGCAGGTGATTGGTAAGAACTGCGCTTTTCTGAGTCTTACTGCCCCAAGACAGGTGTGATTGCCCATTAAAGAAGGTAAGACGCTCCTCAGACCACAACATTGCCTCATTCTTTGAGACCTGAACACATTCCACGAATGGTCGTTGGCTGTTGATTCTCACCACACAACCAAGGAAGATTCAAACACCCGTTCCGCTGTCCGTTCTTTTTAATGTAAGATTATCAGAGTAACATTCAGTAAATCTAAAAAATATATCTTCTGCGGATGCACTCTTCAGATGTCCCTCCACAATGAACAGACCGACGTCGTCAATCAAGCGAATGCCGAAAACCACCCTGCTATGCTTACCCAAACTCCGGATAAACAGATATTCGGCGCGAGCACACAAGATATATGCCAACGGGGGGGAGGTACTCTTTCCCATCGGGATCCCGATTCT